ATAAAATCAAGAGTCGTGCTCACATTAACCCGTATATCGCTGGCGCCACTATCTGTCACTGTTTCCATTGTATCTATCTACTTAGTAATAACAATAACAATAATGATTAGATAAAAGGATTTATCGTACGCGTTGACATCACGACGCATCACTAATGTTGCGTCTTGACAAAATTATTAATGTTCTAAAATTATCTTGTAACAGCCAATTAGCTATAACTTACGAACGAACGCGTGCGCAGTGTTGTATGTTTGTGCAGCTTCTACAGCCTGCGCTGATTACGTGTCTATTCATAGAATACTTATAAAATCTCGTCGAAATTTACTGTTGCCTTATAAAACATAATATCTTTCCAGTCGTCTACGTAACGTAAATATGTCATGAAACAGTGGAGTGAGTACCTTCGCTTTAAGTATGTGATCGCATTACAGATGATGTTTGTCGTGAGAGGTTGGAGGCCACTCGGGCCACTCAAAATATTGTAATTAGTGTAATGAAATAAGTATTCGCGTCGTAGATCGCGTGTCCTCGCGGCGCGCGGCGGCGCCGGCCTGCGCTGGCGCCGGGCGCCGGGCGTCGCGACGCCGCCGCCCGCCTTGTTTGCACATCGCGTATGTTCTCTATTTACGCGAGTACGTTTTCGCATTATTTCAACAAACACGTACCAAATTACGAAAATCATGACGTCAACGAATATCCGATCCGACTCGTGTTTCTGTTTTTACGACTCCGCACCGACCTTAACCATCGTTATAGCGAAACGAGGAGAGAGAAATGTTATTGCCCAAACAACTCACAACGGAACTTGCAACAAGGATTGCTTGTAATGCGATAACTAGATATTCAAGTGTTGCTTAGCTTTACATAAAGAACTAAGTGACCCAGTTAATCAAGATTAATGTTTAAGGTAATCAGAAAGGGTCTGGCGCCACCGAGCACTCCTCGGTGGGCACGCCGAGTCACGCACAGTTCGCACCACTAACCGCTCGCTATTACTCATGATAAGCCTACCCACAAACCGCATTCACCTAACACTGCCTCATTAGCCGACATTAAAATAATAACGGGTGCGCTTGCGGCCAACAACCATCCCTATTCAGACGATTTAACATAACAGCAGAGAGACGGGACTGCAGTACAAAAGTAATCATATGCAACGATCCCGCAGCGCAGAGAAATATATTTTGAATTAACGATCATCCGTGTCCAGTCCTGTCTACACTCGACACTTGAACATCGGGCGCTGCTCTTCGTAAAAAGAGCACTTAGACTTCAAAGCGTTTTACGCAGTAAACGGCGAAAAAGGCTGAAACAAAATTATGCGCCGAGGAATGTGTTGCAGCGAGAGACACCGATTTCACAAAAATAAAACGTCGATTGTGCTCGGCATCGTGCATCGGCGTGCACAAAACAAATTCCTCGGAGGCACTTGCTGTGCACTGAATTAGATACACTCGTGATCGAGTGGTGAGGGGCGCGCTGCCCGATGAACCGTGAACACCAACTGCCGCACCGCGCTGTGACGTCACGCGCGGACTCTACACCAAACTAACTTCCAACATTACAGAGCTTATCTCAACACACAGTTTTTTCTCATGTCTAAATATAGAATTGATATTATTTACGATAACGAGACACTTGACCTTTGCATGTAACTCTGATTAATTAGCTCATTTTACTGCAATATCAATTCATATAGAGAACATCGTTTAAAAACTTACATTATGAAGTCAACGACTGTAAACTAAAACAGTGATTAATACATTAATTAATATAATAAATCTTTACCAGTCATATGCGGAACACTACCGTATGTCTCTTTTCTAAAAAATGTGTTTTATTCCTAAACCTGTCAACGTTTTCAATTTCAGTTTTCAGTGTTATGCAAACATGTATTTCTCTCTCTAGATTTGGATGACGCATCGGCTCCTAGGCGTTGCTATGTATAATTGAAATTTCCAAGAGCAACGTGTTATAGATTATACTATTTGTAAATAAGTTATTCGTGCACAAATATGCCAAGTGGTTAACGACATAAGATTATCGTCTCACCGGCTACACGACAACGACAAATCGTGGTTATTCAATTCTGAAATCAAATAAAGCAACACAATTTCTTTGAAACATCCGTACTTAGACGTATATCGGCTAGGAATAACTCTTACTTCACCAACGCAGCAGACTATTCCCTTTTCGAAGCCATGAAATTAATTTAGTTTATTGCGGCCACACCTGGCTGGATTTCAATTAAAAATTATCCATTTTACTGTCTTCGCAGGTTACTGGAGATTTATTAAAAGCATAATAAAGTGTATTATTACAGCAGCCGGCAGACGGCCAACTGGACTTCTCACAAAGGCAACTGTGAATCAGATTTGATGCGTTTTATAGTTACGAGCCTCAGATAGAGTTTACGGCCGACGTGTTCCGCCATGCCGAGAGCTGACTGCTATAATGCCATAGCAGAATCACAATTAATACATTGTGCCCGTATCGGTCGCCCGTAATGTACTAAACATTGTGCAACAAGGCTAGATAGAAATAGCTGCAGTCAATTCTTCATGACATTAATCGTCCATAATAGAACCGCCACTTTTGTTTACAAATCGTCCGTAGGCTAAATGAATCTCCACCACGGAAAGCTATTTAACGCTGAAAGCGAAAACACTGGCGAGACATTTATTGGAGTGAATATATCACATTTTTTCTTGGAATATGACTTAGTAAATATAGTAAAAGAGCGCGTACGTTGACATCGGCGATATTTGTTCGCAAAAAATGTGTGTTGTAAGTTGTGTTCGCTAAAAAGGCGAGCAGACGGCGTCGCGGCGACGGGTCGACGGCCGAGCCCGGAATAACCAGCAGCAGCAGCTATATTTGCAGCAGCGGCGCGGGCGCAGGGGGGACCAGCGCGTGCCATTTCTGCACCACCGCCCGGTGCATCTGAGTAATGCCATTGTAATGCTCTCGATATAGTCGTAATGAGAGGACGCGGCCGGGCAGACGCGGCGTCGGCGACGTCGCCGCTGCGGCTCAGCCTCCGCACTCCCGCACTACGCTCCTCGTAAATCACTATCTGTCGCCACTGGCTACGGAACACAGCAGATCTCAGATAACGACATGCCAATAATTCGACAGCGTTATTTATGTTTTATTGAATTGATTACGAATTTACGAGTAAGTGGAAGATGATGATGAACTGTGCTTGGTGTGAGCGTGGCACCCGCGTCCACATGGAGCCGCTATACCTAATGTATATTGATGAGCCCGCTCGTGGGAGCCGCTCGCCGCTACACTGTCATTTGTCATCGCCAATTCCTGTCATTGCGCATACGCATACTTTCTTATTTTCTGCAATTACCTTTAAAGTCGGCAAATTTGCCGATTGCATTAAAAAATGTACTTAATGGGATGATGAGCGGCGACAATCAAGAATCGCACCGGACCAACAGCCTCAAGCCAAGTAAACGCAAACAAGGCGACGACTTAAATGTCATAATGTACTCTTAATGTATAAAAACTAGTTGCTTTAAAAATATACATTGACTTTGACATCTCCAATATGAGTCCTATCATCTTGATTCAATAATAGGTAATTCGATATTGTACCTACTTGAGTTTATTAACTAATATCGTAGTATCATGTTACACTGGCGAAGCGGGTCACACAAAAATGGAATATTATTAGCGGCCATCAAAGAGACAACACTTGCAAAATGTCCATAAAGCTGTATGTCGTCCACTCGATTTCCACATGTGTGGATAGTTTTCGCGACAGATGGCCCGTGACTCACTAACCTGTTGCCGGCCACATACGTTTCCAATGTAATCAACATGACAAATATTTATAAATCATTTTACACTAATAATATGTGAAAAAAAAAACAAACGAGACACGTCTATTAAGACAAAATTAAAGACTTTACTAGCTATTAAACGACCGCTCCTGTTTGTCAAAGTTTAGGAAATTAAATGTGTATAGTGTAAGCATGACATCAGCGCCGTGTTGCCATGAACGTGCTAGTCAAATGACATCATTAGCGAGGAAATGAAATTGTCCAAATCACTATGTTCACGTGACGTGGAGCCTAATGAGAGGCACGCTCATTATTGTTGGAACCTCTCGAGTGCAGCTCTCTACAGATGCAAATCGTGTCGTGAGACTGCAATGAGCTCGGGTCCATTGTGGCCGCGGGCGGTGGTACAAGCGCGGAGGTGTCAGGCGATCACCTCACTTATCTCTTATTTCATTATCACGTTCAAGATAACATTATCAGGTTGGATATCTACGAGCGCGCCCGCTCCCGTGACGAGTCCGCGTAATTAAACAGTCGCCGACCGAACTGAAGCGGGTCATTAATATTTCTCAAGTCACCGTCTGGATTGCTCGCAGACCTATTGCTATCACGATGCTCTTTCACGGTTGCTACAAAGGCTTTGTATTTATATTTGTACGTATCTAAATAAGTTGTCTTGCTGTCATTTATTATTAAAGGGCAAAGGATTTAAAGTGCTAACAGCTACAATAAAGGCCTTCGTTATGACTTAATACGTGCCTGATACAAACTTGATTAAGACTCGAAGGTCTCATAAAATCATCGAAACATCCGTAGGTATTTAAAAGGCTACTTTTACGATCATTGCCCTTTCGTAAAACACACTGAATTATTAAACTAAATGACAAATGAGCTAACGCATATATTCTTGTTATTTTTATAATTTTTGGGTAAGTAAATATTTTTAGAAATGATGTAAGCCTACAACCAATTGAACTACCAAGAAGACTTTGGGAACATCATATCACCACATGACTCCATTAGGAGTGTTATTGAAAAATATGCAACGTCACTATAATGAGCAATTCCTAATCTAGAAAAAACACCAAATGACTTCAAGGACTCGCTTGGTATAAATTACGATTGGCGAGTCGTGAGCTGACCTTTTGTCGGCGGCACAAACACAACGTATAAAGATGGTGACAGAGAATAAAAGTTACTTACAGTTCAGGTCTCCAGGACATGTCTTGCAACATCTCCCGGGCAGTAGGACGGGCGTGTCACAGGACGGTTCGGGGCACTCGTTCTTAATGTTCCGACAGTGTACCTTAGCTACCACTCGCCGTTTCTTTTGGACCTGTAACACGTTACAATTATATAGCACCACTTCATAGTCATAGAACATATTGTTACCAAGTGTAATCTGGATATACGTACCGCAACACACTCACATTTGATGCAGTACATAACACCGAAGGGCGGGCCCAAGTCCGCGAACCACTTGGAACCCAGCTCCATAGCTTGTTTGCCGAACAAACATTCTGAAACAATGAAATGTTTATTGTAATTATAAGAAAGAACTGAATGTCTGAAGAACACACACCATATATATTTTTATTGGGAATGTTATTTATTAAATTCTCTCGCCCTAAGTGGGCTAGAATTAGTGTAAGGCTCTTACGTACTGATTAAAAACCACCCCATTCTTCTTGGAGTCACAGTAGGTTTTTGCGCTTACATCCATTACCCTCACTGAAAGTATGGCTTACTTCAATACTTCCTTTGCTTGTCTCAGAAATGGTTCTACCTCCATAACATGGCAAACATAAAATGGAAGACACTAGAAAACGATGCAACGTAACACTAAGTGAGAATGCACATCGATAAAGGCGTAAATAAAGTATAAACAGAGAGTGATCCTGATTATTTTGCTCTCTGTAAACTCTAAATAAACATATGCCTGTAGTATTACTAAGCATTATCTGTTTTATATGTAAATTGAGATTTCAAACCAATTTATCTATAATTGAATACATGTTTCAGGTTAAGTATGTTTTTGAGTATTTCTACGCTTTTTTTATGTAATGGGTCGGCAAACCAATAGACGGATTACCTGATGGTAAGCTATCAGCGTCGCCCATGTACACCCGCAACGGAGGAGTTACGAGTGCGTTGACGACCTTTTAGGAATTAGGGTTTTGTAGATTTAGGGATTGGGGAGGGATCGGGGGAAGGGAAGGATTGGGCCTCCGGTAACCTCAATCACACGGCGAAACACAACGCTGTGGTTGTTTCACGCCGGTTTTCTGTGAGGTCGTGGTATCACTCCAGTCGAGCCGACCCATTCGTGCCGAAGCATGGCTCTCCCACACTTAAACGCTTAAGGAAATTAAGGAAACTGATGAAGTTATTTTGCCGAAACCACAATAGAAACATTCCCATAGGCTTATTACGTCACTATACTTACTTGATTGATTATAATAAACTTGACGTAAACATAAATTAACCTTCTGATCTTTTGAATGTTTACAACCATATAAACATAACAACACATTAAAAACTTTAATAATTAACACTTTCAATTAAGTTTAACAATAAAACTATGAATATGTATCGTATTGTATATTAAATGATTTATAAGTTATCTTTAATGGCAAGCACAGGTTAACCAAGTTGCATTTACATAGCAAACTTGTGAGCTAACATCTAAAAATAAAAGTTGCAGCGTACCTAGTCTTAAAATTAATGTAAGTTCGCATGCGTGCTTGCAAAATGACACTTATGTGCCTATACATACGCGATGGGCAGTAAGATATTGAAAGTTTAATATGTACTAATTTGTATTAGTTAAATTGAAATGATGTATTGTGTTTCTGCAATTTGGTGGTCCTATGAATCGGCAAATACTAGCTTTCCGCCCAAAGTTTCAGTCTTCTTAACTATTTCAACTGGCTTTATTTAGTTTTTTAAATTTAATTTTGACATGTGAAAGTGCTGTTTAATAGCCTTTTTGATGAAAATAAATTTCTTTGTTTCCAGCCTCGATGATTATGCCATAAACAAACTCCGTGGCAATGTTATAGAAAAACAAACGCATTTGTCGATTTATAATATTTTTTTTTTCATAATAATACATAAATTAATGTTAGATATAAATCCGCTTGTACAATTCCAAAATCTGTAAAAATACTGTCTTAAAAATTTTGGGGAAACATTAAAATGTATATTTTAAACTCTATAACTTTTTTTAATAATATAAACTATACGATTAAACAAAATATAACCGCATCAAGTTCTTAATATCCAATTTCGTTTCTATTCTTAGTAAAGTCTAGAAAAACTTACTGGACTTAATCAAACCGTTTTGATTAAACTTGTTCCTTATATGGAGATATTGTTGAGTATCGATAGACAGCTTCACACAATATTTTTATATCAACGTCGATATTCCATAAATTAGTTAATTTCTTCTTCGGATGTAATTGCACCCCGCTACTCTGGTTCACCCCCGGTGATCCCGCCTTTTTAATGTAAACTTGGTATCCATATCATCATCGCAAGGCATTACATCAACAATAATTATGTGGAAATGAAAACTAGAACATTCTACAAGCCTTTTGTTGAACGAGAACTCTTGAGTTTTAGAGCTAGAAAAGTCATTTCAAATAGGATTGTAAAATATATCGAAATCAGTTTAGCCGTTTAGGAGTACAAAGCACAAATGGGTAGATAAAATGGATAATTAAAAAAATTGGATGATAGTTTCATAATTAACCGTCAATAACATGAATGTAGTTAATAGTTATGTAACTTTATCCCGTAGCAAAGCGTCAGAAAGCGATTAGGTGTCGCGGATAGATTCAGTATCAGATGTGTCGGGTCGATAAGGTGGCCGGCCTCTATATGTAAGCGTCACTGTTATCTCCCTCTCGTAACTATTTAATTAACCTCACTCCCGAGTGCACTGATAACGAACGAGACATGTTGCGTGAGAACATATTGCTCTTGGTGCCCATTTACAAGTAACATTGTCGTTAATCTAGACGGATTTAAAATTCAGACAAAGCTTTTAAAATGTTGCAAACACTGACATTCTCAGACAGAGTGACATGAGCCACATTTCACAGTAAAAATATATACAGTCGAGTGGACAGCTCAATAATGGAAGTGGAGAATATAAACTATGAGGATAGTTGTGGTGAGTGAGCGACGTCACGCGTAATGAGGAAGAAGGGTGACGGCATGATGCGCCGGCGCGGCGACCCATATTCAGGATGCAACGATCAATGCGACGCTGCCGACGAGTTACAGCGAACATTATCCCCATATTTTATAGCAGCATTTGTGCGTGTAGTGTCAATTTCATTAAAATTGAAAGTTATGAATGCAGCCCAAGAAGAAAGTACTTGTTTATTTTTTTCCTTTCATGTGCGCAGAGTGCCAAAAAAGCATTATTTACCGTCACACCTACTCGATCGTTTATGAGTCGCGGGCGCACCGTCTCGCCGACACAAGCGCGCGTCCACACCCGCCGCCTATTTTATAAGCCGCGCGTGTTTCTGGACGTTCAATGTATGTATATAAAAATATTATCTCTGACATGATTTAGGCATATAAAGTGAGGCGAGACATCGCGTAACCTTCCTTTCGTTTTCTCGGAAACGTTGGCGATGGGCCAGAAGCGCTTCGCCAGGGAAATGAAGTATTGGCGACGCCCGTCTTATGCTTCTTTCACGATCTGTTTATGGAATGTACTCGATACGACCCGCTGTTTATTTTGAATTTATTATTCAAATATTGGAAATTTTCGCGTTTTCGTCCGTCCGTAGGTAAATATCAATAAGGTATAATAAGTAACAGCCAACAGCGCTTTGGCTGAGCACCACCACATCATGCAAATGAAAAATATTTGAGTCGTGTTTGTGAAAGCGTGTATATCATCACCATTAATTTTTATCTTTAGCTGCACTTAACTGATATTAAGAAAAACATGCAATACGAAACAAAAACAAAATACAGATTTTCCCCAATGCAAGTCGTGAAGAATTTGTCAGCACCTTTCTTAGCTGCGAGTAATGCAATGAATTCAAACATATTTAGTATATTAATAATTGCATCATCGCCATCGTGTGTACGTCCACATATTCGTTTGTATAATGTCTTGGAGCAATTTGTAATCTCCAGAGCGTGGCGTGTTCGGCCGGTCCCAGGGTCGGCGCATTGTGTCACAGCACCGCATAGATCACGATAAGTATGAACTGCATGTCAAAGCAGAAGTATATGGTCGGCTCATTGAAGTGTGCGCAAGTCGCTTCGATAAATCCTCTACATAAAAGGGTTGAAAGAGGCGTGCGCCGTATTTCAGCGCGCGTGGGCAGCGCATAAATTGTTCGTTCTGAATTAGCCTTAAGCAGGATATTTTGACATTCGCACGGCCGACACGCTGACTAGTTTACACTCGTGCACCGACTGTTGCGATACTTCACGATGCGATACCACCGCGCAGATTACCATTCATCATCACTAATAAATTCAACAACACTTCATCGCTGTTTCGGTTAACGAGTCGAGGAGTTGGCTTTCTTTTTATAGTGTTACATACAAAACGCGTTTCAGTGTCGGAGCGCGTACATTGTAGAGAGCAGCGCGATGCAGCGCGGTGTAGGCGACTCGCCGCAGATCAGACAATTTGCTTTGATCACTGTATCAGTGTATCATTAGATACACACACCCACACGCTGAATGATTGCTCATTGTGCCGCCCCTTGGCGTGCACTATATTACGTATACATCGGTCGTGACGCGATCATACCCAACCCACGGCTGCTAACTATATGTGCACTACCGCTCTATATTTACTTGTTATTTATTTGCGCCAAACTGAGACATACACTTATTTGGTATCAAACAATAAAGTGAAACTGTTTGTTACCTTAAGTTAGTCCACGACACAATTCAATGTTGCCTGTATTAGTCAAATTACAAGAGCAAAGTTCTCCAAGCACATCACCTGTGTTCCTTTTACGAAAGTCAATGAGACGTTTTATTTTACATCCAAATTAAAATGGACAAAAATAGAGCGTCCGATTTTAGCTCGGCATTGCTTAAGATTATTTCTGTGGGTCGGCTGACATCGTCTCATGACAATCCCTATAAATTAGTCAGGTGTGATTGTAAAAATAGTGTGAGTGGTGTGATGGGTACTTCGGTAGGTGTGATCATCCTGTCGCCCTCAGGTATGGATGATGGAGAGCGTCTGCGGCTAGTTACGCCGCGCTAGTACAAGTATTATGTAAAACGCGGTGTATCGAATGTCTCCGACAGGTGTCTATCGTCGCTAATAAGAATTACTGTGGCGCATTGATCAGATCACTCGGTCCAATGAATCAACTGCAGCACTTCTATTACGCGTTTAATAAACACATCGGTAATGTGTATGAATCAACGGTGGTTGCAGGCATTCTTTGCGGTAGATTAGCCCGTACTAAGATACAATAAATGCAACTTTATGGTGTGATAATAGAATTTATTATAATTTACA